TTATCCTTGTTTTATACAATATATGTTTGGTCAGTACGAAATTCTACTATATTTTTGATTAATTTTCAATCTAAGAGATGAGGACTTGGTCATCATTTAGCATTACCAAAATTATTGTCTTTAGTCTAGCTAGGGAATAAGTCGTCGTCTTACTCTTACGACAAATTAGTTGGACTTAAAGTTTTTTTTTTTTTCTTTCTGTTGTGTATCAATTTCAGAAATGAATTCGAATAGTGTATTTATTAATTACACCAACATGTATGTACGTAGAGATGAGTACGTATACGTATTAGAAATATGCCAAGACGATACTAATAATTAAAATAAAATAAAAAAAGAAAAGAGATGGAGTTGAGTAATGGTAGAGAGAGACGACGAAGAGAGAGCCGTAGATTCCGTGAGAGCCAGGCTTGCACTATCATTATTTTACACATTCGTTCACCCAAAGTAATCTCTTCTACCATTTTTTTCTTTTTTTCTTATCTTTTGATTATTATTTTCTCAAAGATGGTAACATATAGGATTACAACTAATTTTCGTAATTTACTGAAATATTTTCAAGCACAAAAATAGCGTGTCTAGTTAGACTTCGATCTTTATTTTCCATTCACAATAATGTCAAATTTAATGTCAATAAGTACAGAAAATATTGAGCTAGAGGTTAGATCCGGATTATTAAAAACAATTTGAATCTATAGTTTACCACATGTAGTTCTTTCAACAGAACCAATCCAAAAATAAGTTGTTATACAGAGTAAATTAAAGGGATAATGAAGAGACAAAACATACATCACTCAAGTAATTGTCTAAATTTACACATTTTTGTTATGTTTTTGTCTCTCTCTCTCTCTCTCCTCTCTCTAGCTCTTGTGTATTGTGATGAGTTTGCCAAGTTGGGAAGATTGTAATAGAGACAATAACAGAAGTACTAAAATTTTAGAGGCTGCAAAAAGACAAGTCCAACATATTCCACACACTTGAGAATGTGGTGTCTCTCTTTGACTCCTCTCCCTAAATCACTCTCTATTTATGTATGCATCTTTTCAATCCACACACATCTCTCTTAACACACAAATACATATTAATATATATGTAATCCTTAAAGCTGATCATCTCCATCTTCAATTTCAATTCTCTCTATATCATCTTTTCCAATTGATCAATTCCAATAGTACCTCCCTTTCTTCTTGATCTCTCTATATAGCCAATGGAAGCAGCTGCGGAGGCTGTATCAGCCGCTAGGGAGCAATCATTGATCCTTAAAGGGAAACGGACTAAGCGGCAACGTCCGCAGTCCCCAATCCCTTTCTCTATCATCCCTCCTATGTCTTCGCATGAACCGGATGCTGAAGAAGAGTCCACTAGTCTTGTTTCCAAGGAGAAGAGTCTCAATGATGAGATCAACAACAATAACAACAAGAATGGTAACAATACTTTGATCAATGGTGTTACATCTTCATCTTCTGCCTCTTCATCTTCCAACAATAATGCCACATTAAAGGCCACGGCTGACGAGGAAGATCAAGATATGGCTAATTGTTTGATCCTCCTCGCCCAAGGCCACTCTCTTCCCCACCACCAACCGCAACCGCACCCGCAACAACAAACAAGACAGCTTATGATAAGTTACCAGGAATCCGGTAACAACAACAACAATGCGTATAGATCTAGCAGCAGGAGGTTTCTAGAGACATCTTCATCTAATGGGACCACAACGAATGGTGGTGGAGGCAGAGCTGGTTACTATGTTTACCAGTGCAAAACATGTGACCGGACTTTTCCATCTTTCCAAGCTCTTGGCGGACATAGAGCCAGCCACAAGAAGCCTAAAGCCGCCACAGGTCTTCACTCCAACCATGACCACAAGAAATCTATCTACGATGACGCCGTTTCTCTCCATCTCAACAACGTTATCACCACAACTCCTAACAACAATAGTAACCATAGATCGCTTGTGGCATACGGTAAAGCTAGTAATAATAAGGTCCATGAATGTGGGATATGTGGAGCCGAATTCACATCCGGGCAAGCATTAGGTGGTCACATGAGACGCCATAGAGGTGCAGTGGTGGCCGCAGCAGCCGCCTCTACTGCCACAGTAGCGGTTGCGGTTGCGGCCACTCAGGCTACTGCAAACACGGCTTTGTCATTGTCGCCTATGTCCTTTGATCAGATGTCGGATAGTCCGGTTCAGGCTCCGGTTAAGAGAGCAAGGAGCGCGGTTGTGTCGTTAGATTTAGATCTGAATCTACCTGCCCCGGAAGATGAGAATCGGGTCAACGGATTAAGCTTTGCTTCAAAGCAAGAACACGAACAAGAACATGAACAAACACAACAGAAGAAACAGAGAGAAGAACAAAAGTCTCTTGTCTTGTCTTCTCCTCCTACATTGGTGGATTGCCATTACTGAAATCAAAATTCAATACCTAAAATTTATTTATTAAAAAGTTTAAGCAGAAATTGATGAACCATTTTTTAAGAAAGTTACTGATTCCTTGCTTTGTACAAGACTTGCAAGATTCTTCTCTCTTTTCTTTTTTTCTTTTTTCCTTTCCTACTTCCTTAATTTCCAAAGAAAACTATATATACACCCATTAGGCATATGCAGATAGGCATATGCAGATGCTTTGTAATTACATCCAAGTTAATGTAAGATCTTTTGGTTACACAATATAAATAATAAAATACCACATTCGTTTAGTATTGGCCTATTGGGGCATTCTCATAAAGACCACATTCCTCGTTTATATTTAAATAAATCAACTAAAAGTAATATAAATATATAGTTTTCTCTCTATACTATTATTTTCAGTTGATTCATTTAAATAATTTTCTAAAAAACTTATGTCACGTTCATGTATACTTGTAGTTCAAGAATGAATACACTTTTTGGATTAGAGGGAAAAAAAAAAAAAGGTTCAAACCCTTTAAGAAACAAAACAAAAAGGTCATGAAAAGGGCGTGACGGGTCCAACTCTTTTTGTTAAATTTGCATTTCAAACAGAAAACTTGTTCATGTTGACATTACAATTGTAGGTCGAGAGTGAGCTAGGGATCAATATGCAATATATTGTGCCCTTTATGCTTTTATTTTGTTTATTAATGTCACATAATTTGCTATGAATATACTTTGCAATGGATTAATTTAAATTTGTTAACCATCACAAATTTGTTACCGGAATTGCAATTTCATAACACACTTTTCTCAGCTCCTCAAGATTCAGTGTTTCATTTGCTTCTGAGAAGACGTTAACATGGGCTTGATTTACACCCGTCCGTCATCTAAATGGGCTATAAATAAATCTGTGGGCTTTTAATATTTTAAGCTTAGAAGAAATTAGGCCCATAACTTACACACGAGGCTCAAACCTTTTTTTTTTTTTATGAGCCAAAGAAAAAGTCTTGATATTTTAGCATTTTGTCCTTTTTTGGAGACAGTGGTGTCAGATAGCTGACAACCTAAAATATATAAATAAACAAAATAGTGTTTGCTTTTACTTTTACTTTTTTAGTTCCATAATAATATGTGTAAATGTAAGAGTTGGATATTTTTCGTTTTAAATTCTGCCTTCGAATTAGTTACGCATACAAAGCATAAGAGACAAGAGACATAGCGTACCAAAAAAAGAAATAGTGCAAAAATATCATATAGTTTTTGGTACGCCTCATCAATTCAGCCCCGTACACCATAATTATTAAATATCTAAATGTCGACAGCAAAAAATTTCAACATGTAGAAATATTGTTTTAAATAGGCCTTTTCCAGTTTCTAGAAGATGAAAAAAAAAAAGTATCTTTTTGTCTTTGTCACCTTGACTTAGTTGACTATACAAACCCCAAAAGTAAATTATTCAAGTTGTAATCGTAGTTAATGTTTATATTTGATAATTGAAAATGTTTTAAATGAAAACGAAACTGCGAATTACAAATTTGAAGAGGATGGCACTAGAAATAAATAGAGAAAAAAAAAGAAGAAAAATAAATAGTAACAGAAAATGGGAAAGATGATGATTCGTGTGGACCAAGTCTCACTTCCCCTTTAGCTTGCCTTATTGGTAAAGTATCCTTATGCAAGCAAACGTATCTGTCACTCCTTTTTAATTTTTCTTTCACCTTCTATATTATTCTCATTACCTCTTTTTTTGGGTCAACTTCGTTTAAACTGTTATTACATTTTTATGGGTTCTAAAGAAAACGACATTATCCTAATTAAATAAAATTTATTCACCTTACGAGATTAAATCTTTTTTTAACCTATAAATTTATATCAAAATGAAAAATATTTGGCAATCTGGATATGAAAAGAGAAGGTACTTATCGATTGACAAAAAAAAAGAGAAGGTACTTATCAAAATTTAACTTTTGATAAGGAGAAGACAAAACCATTATATATTTTCCAACAAGATTGTTTCCTTAGATTTTATTATTTACCCTAAAGTTTGTAAATCTTTGAACTGCAGAATTTTATGAAATAGAAGATTTTTATACTAGAGATATATACAATGCATTAAATGTAAAAGGAAACAAATAAACTCTTTTCTTTTAGTGTAAAAATACTTGACATTTTAAAAAGATTCATTAATCACAGAAAGAATCTTTGATTTTCATTTAATGGTTTTCATCATCTATCTAAATATTATTTACTTATTTTATAACCAATATTACTGTTATATTCTATATTCACACACATATATAATATGTTTTTGGTCAACTACATATATTATAGTTAGACATTTTTAGGAAATTCCAATCGTAAAATATAAATAATTAAATATTTTTCGTTTAATACTTACTTTTCAGACATAAAACGACAAAAGCCTAAGCAGTAACGTTTGCTAGGGTTTATTACTGCAACACACAAAAAAGAGAAATTAAAATTTAATTAAAAATTAAAAAAGGGGAAATGAAAATCGGAATCGCAAATCCGAAATTACTTGTTTTCTAGCCGTCTAGGAACTCGTAAAGAAAGCAAATTTCTTGCAATTGAAGTTACCTTTAATGTTTATGCTTCTGTTTTTCATTTCTTCTCCGTCAAATTAAAACTCATTTTGACAACGTTGATGTTTCTCTGAAGAGACAGATTGAGAAGAAACCTTAGAACAAGTACGGTCTTTTTTTTTGCTTAAATGGGTCGCGAATCTCTGGCTGTTGTGTCCTCGCCGCCATCGGCGACTGCGCCGAGTACTGCTACTGCGGCTACCTCGCTTGCTCCTGGCTTCAGATTTCATCCGACTGATGAGGAACTCGTGAGCTATTACTTGAAGAGGAAGGTTCTGGGCAAACCTGTACGCTTCGATGCGATTGGAGAGGTCGATATCTACAAGCATGAGCCCTGGGATTTAGCAGGTTCGTTGGGTTTCTTCCTCTTTGTTCCTACTTACCTCTATGATTTGGGTTTTTCTGTGAGACTTGTGAAGTTTTTGCTTCTGATTTGGGATTTTTGTCGCCTGGGCTTATTCGGTGTTCCGTCTTCTGACTCAATTCTTGGAAAAGGGTTTAACTTTATGTGCTCCGATTCATTTTCTGGGAAATTTTTGTTGTTGCAGATTCTCTATTCGTAGCGTTTGCTATGTTTAGGCAATTAGGCTATAACACTGTGAAGACATTCCATCCAATTGACTTCTTTAATTGGGGAAAGTCGATTTTTCAGATTCCTTAAGAATTTCGTGTTTGCTTGTGGCTCAGTTATGTTTGCTTGTGGTTCAGGAAATGAAGTTTGTTGGTTATTTGAAGTGTTGTTAAGTCTAGTTTGAAATTTGCATCTGGTGTGTTGTGTTTCAGTATTTTCGAAGTTGAAAACTCGGGACCAAGAATGGTACTTCTTCAGCGCGTTAGATAAGAAGTACGGTAATGGTGCTAGGATGAATCGAGCAACTAACAAAGGATACTGGAAAGCAACTGGAAAAGACAGAGAAATCCGCCGGGATATTCAGTTGCTCGGTATGAAAAAGACGCTTGTTTTCCACAGCGGGCGTGCTCCGGACGGGCTTCGGACTAATTGGGTCATGCACGAGTATCGCCTTGTTGAATATGAAACTGAAACTAACGGAAGCCTGCTGGTATTATCTTGTCAAAAAGAGTTACTTTTGAATTGGGTTTATCTCATATGTTAAAAGAATCCTATCTTATCTCGATTCTTTGTCTGGGTGCAGCAGGATGCATATGTGTTGTGCAGAGTGTTTCACAAGAATAACATTGGGCCACCGAGTGGGAACAGATATGCGCCATTCATGGAAGAAGAATGGGCTGATGGTGGAGGAGCTCTGATTCCAGGAATAGACGTTAGGGTCAGGGTAGAGGCTCTACCACAAGCCAATGGAAACAACCAGATGGACCAGGTTTGTACTTTCTTTATACTCAATGTTTCTTATATGCAAAAACTCTGTTAAGAATCCCTCTAATGTGAATCATCTCTCTTGATTAACAAGATATCATCTTTCGTATATGCAAAAGCTCTTTGCTTCTCTAAGTACTGTTTCAGTGGACTGAGTTACTTAAACTGCACAATTCCATTAAGTTTGCTATCAACTCTTGTAGAACTCAGCTCAACCTTACAGCTTTATCTAATGAATGGTCTCTCTTGATTCACAAGATATCTAAATTTTCTTTATTGTCTTTTTCTGTGGGATTTATCCTCCTGATTACAAGATATTTCAGACTTACAATCTTCGTTTTGCACTAAAGGTGCTCAACAAGAGAAAGATTTATTGTGTTTTGGTTAATCTATAAAGTCGATCAACTCATTTTGGTTTGAGATATTTTATGACTAATGGGTTCACATTAACTTGTAATTTGTTGTAGGAAATCCATTCAACAAGCAAGGATCTCATTAACATCAACGAGCTACCGAGAGATGCTACTCCAATGGACATCGAATCTAACCAACAGAATCATCATGAGAGCGCCTTCAAGCCTCAGGAGAATAACAACCATAGTGGTTATGAAGAAGATGAGGAAACACTCAAACGCGAGCACGCAGAAGAAGATGAGCGTCCTCCTCCACTAAGCATGCTCAACAAAGAAGCTCCACTACCTCTCCTCCAATACAAACGTAGACGCCAAAACGAGTCCAACAACAACTCAAGCAGGAGCACACAGGACCATTGTTCGTCCACAATAACAACCGTCGACAATACAACCACCTTAACCTCATCATCATCTGCTGCTGCTGCCACCAACACTGCCATCTCTGCATTGCTTGAGTTCTCACTTATGGGCATCTCCGAAAAGAAAGAAAACCAGCAACAACCGCTTAGTCCTCACAAGGAAGCTTCTCCTCCTAGTCCAATTGCATCTCCTGAAGAGAAGGTTAATGATCTCCACAAAGAGATTCACCAGATGTCTGTTGAAAGAGAAACTTTCAAGCTTGAGATGATGAGTGCAGAGGCTATGATCAGCATTCTCCAGTCAAGGATCGATGCGCTGCGTCAGGAGAACGAGGAACTTAAGAAGAAGAACGCCAGTGGACAAGCTAGTTAAACCACACCACCATCTCTCCAGGTTTCTTCTTCTTCTTCTTTGCCTTTTAGCTGTAATCTTCCTAATAGTATGAGCTATGGATGTAGCTTGTTCAGACGGATCAGAAACCGTATGAATCTCTGTTGTAAAATTAGGATAAAACGGAACGGAGCCACCCAGCAGGGTCTTTATTTATCCTTTTTCATTTCATGTTTCTGCATCTTTTGGGAACATTTTCAGGCTGATCCATTGTCATATATTATCATCTATCTATCTAGTCTTTTCAGACAGGAACTCTCTTTTATTTGGTCTCAAGAAATGTTCAGAAAGAAAGCTTTTTTTTTCTTGGGGTAAAACCGTAATCATTAGTGGTCCGGTTTGAGGACATAATCGTCATCAAATGACAAAGAACCACTCTGTTGCTTAATGTTCTGTCTCGAAGAACTGGGAAGACAGCTTCTAGGTAAACTCGTGATTAGTGAAAATGAGTGAGGGTATAACCGTCATTGAACACTTCGGCTAGCGTTACGATTTATGAATGTGGTTCCGTCAACGACGTTAGAAGACTTTTGTTACACGTAATTTGCAATTATTTGTTTTTAAAAAAACAAAAAAAAGCGAAAAGCGCTAGGTACGATTCAAGCCTGGATTCCATTTTCAAATAAATAATTATATTTTACTTTTTTTTTTTTAATTTCAACTCTTTATTTGCTGAAAACCTAATTTTTGTGTTTCAAACTAATTCCATTAATATAAAGTATATAATATAAATTTGCGCCAACCAGCTACCTCAACAAGTTACAGAGACTATCTCAGACTTGTCCAAAATTTTCACGTGTCGCTACTTTATTTGCTGTTACCCAAAAATATCAGAGTATCGGCACTATTTACAGAGCACAATTCCCTGGAAGAGATATTAAAACCTCACTGCCTAACATTTCACTTTTAATCTTTTCCACTGTCGCTTATTCCCGGAGGATTCGTTGTAGCCTCTCTTCTTCTCCGATTTGCTTGTTCTCATTTTTTCCAAATTCCTAAAATCTAATTTCCATACTACACTTGCTTCGTTCTTTCTTTAGATTCGATTCGATAACTCTGAGCTGGATTAAGGAGAAAAACCTCATTAGTTTCTTCTAGACTCGGTGTTGGTGGTGGCGACTGGACCACTACTTGGTATGGCCGGTGTTCTTTACATGGTCGTGACGGAGCCAATGATTTAGACCGGAACTTGTCTGATTTGCAGCAGCCAGAGTAATAATCACAATTGTAAATGATGTGTGATGGAGCCGCCATGTAGGAATCAGCCACATGTGGTCATTTTATTTGGTGCATCTTACTAAACCTTCATCTACAAGCTTCTTGGTTGTCTTAATTTGTTAGATTATTATAGTGTCGACATCTTTTATCATTAAGTTTCAAAGAAGAAGTTTTGATCAGAGACGTATTTTCGAAATGGATTCATATCTACTAGGTAATGGAATTTCGTAGGTGTTATAAAGTCTGATGTTTGTATTATACGGAACCTGGCTATGTTTAACTCCTTTAAGAATCTATTGTCTATCATTTATGAGTTTGTGTGACCCTTGTTAAATGATTGTACTTTCGATAGGTTTGTTTTTTTAAATTTCTAATATCTTTATCCAAGAGTTGGAAAAAAATTACTTGCTTTTTAGATGACTACGAAAGTAATTTACTACATAAAACGACAAAAACCTACGCAGTAACATTTGTCTAGGGTTTATTACTGCGACACTCAAAAAGAGAAATAATGAAATGTGAAAATGAAAAAAAAGGAAATTAAAATCAAAATTGGAATCGCAATCCAAAATACTTGTTACTACTAGCCTTCTGGGAACGCGAAAAGAAAGACAAATTTCTTGCAATTGAAGGTACCTTTTAATCTTATACTTATCTCTTTGGTTTCTTCTTCCTCAAATCAAAAAACCCATTTATCCAACTTGTCTTTTTGTTCTTCAGGTGAGATTTGGGGATAGGGAAATTGAGGAAACCCTAGAACAAGTACGGTCTTTATTTTGCTTTAATGGGTCGCGAATCTCTGGCTGTTGTGACTGCGCCGCCCTCGGCGACTGCTCCGGGTACTGCTACTGCGGCTACCTCGCTTGCTCCTGGCTTCCGATTTCATCCGACTGATGAGGAACTCGTGAGCTATTACTTGAAGAGGAAGGTTCTGGGCAAACCTGTACGCTTCGATGCGATTGGAGAGGTCGATATCTATAAGCATGAGCCCTGGGATTTAGCAGGTTCTTTGGGTTTCACTTCGCTCTTTCTTGGTTTCTGTGCATCTCTTCAATTTTGGGTTTTTCTGTGAATTTGTTGCTTCTGATTTGGGATTTTTGTGGTCTGGGCTTCTTCGCTTCTTCTGACTCGATTCTTGGGAAAAGTTTTTAGCTTTATAGGTTCCGATTCATTTTTCTGGGAAATTTTGTTGCAGATTCTCTGTTGTTACCTTCTGCTATGCTTAGGCTATAACACTGTGAAGGCATTTCATCTTATCGACTTCTTAAGTGGTTTAAATATTCGTTTTTCCAGATTCCGTTGGAATTTCAGGCTAACTTGTGCTCCAATTTTGTTTGCTTGTGTTTCAGGAAACGTAAAGTTTTGAGTTAAGTCTGGTTTTAAGTAATTTCTTGTATTGTGTTGTGTTTCAGTGTTTTCGAGGTTGAAGACAAGGGACCAAGAATGGTACTTCTACAGCGCATTAGATAAGAAGTATGGAAACGGCGCTAGGATGAACCGAGCAACTAACAGAGGGTACTGGAAAGCAACTGGAAAAGACAGAGAAATCCGCCGTGACATTCAGTTGCTTGGTATGAAAAAGACGCTTGTTTTCCACAGCGGGCGTGCCCCAGACGGGCTTCGGACTAATTGGGTCATGCACGAGTATCGCCTTGTGGAATATGAAACCGAGAAAAACGGAAACCTTGTGGTACTGTCTTGTCCAAATTACTTACGAATTTGATTTATCTGATATTTTCCAAAGATCTCATCTTATATCAATTCTTTGTTTCGTTGCAGCAAGATGCATATGTGTTGTGCAGAGTCTTCCACAAGAATAACATTGGGCCACCAAGTGGGAACAGATATGCGCCGTTCATGGAAGAGGAATGGGCTGATGATGCAGGAGCTCTGATTCCAGGAATAGACGTTAAGCTCAGGCTAGAGCCGCCGCCAGTAGCCAATGGAAACAACCAGATGGACCAGGTTTGTGATTTCTTCATACTCTGGCTTCATAACCCAAACCTTATTAGTTTCATTTCAATATTTCTTATATGCAAAAACTCTGTTGAAATTCTCTCTTAACTGGTGTTCCATTGGGCTGATTGAGTTTATTTGAACTGGATTAGTCTATTTATGAACCAATATACTATTTCAGTGTTATTTAGTGCAAATGTACAAATTTAACTGATGCATCATATCTCTTGTTTCACAAGATATCATATTTCTTATCTGCAAAAACTCTGTGTTGAAGTGACGCTTCTCTAAGTACTGGTTCAGTGGGCTGAGTTACTCCATCGAGTCTGTAACCAACTCTTGTAGAAATCAACCTTATAGGTTTATCTGATGAATCAACTCTCTTGATTCAGAAAATATCTTAATTTTCTGTGGTCCTTCTTTTTTGTTTCTTGGGATTTATTCTTAATCATGCTGATTACCAGATCTTTCAAACTTTGCATCCTCATCTGACCAGCACTTGTTACTGTGCATCATATGAACTCACTTAATTGATCAGTAAATGTTGACTAGAAGTATAATGATTTTTTTGTTGTTCTAGTGTAAATGCAGTTTTGATCTTTCATCCGCAAAGTTGTTCTAGTGAAGCATTTGGTTTCAGATAATTTATGCGTCGTCTGGGGTTCACTTGTAATTTGTTGTAGGAAATCCAGTCAGGCAGCAAAAGTCTCATCAACATCAATGAGCCACCGAGAGAGGCAGCTCCAATGGATATCGAACCTAACCAACAGAATCATCATGAGAATGAGCTCAAGCCGCAGGAGCATAACAACAATAATAATTATGATGAAAACGAGGAAACGCTCAAACGCGAGCTCACGGAAGAAGATGAGCGTCCTGCTCCACCTGTATGCGTTCTCAACAAAGAAGCTCCATTACCTCTCCTGCAATACAAACGTAGACGCCAGAATGAGTCAAACAACAACTCAAGCAGGAACACACAGGACCATTGTTCGTCCACAACAACAACCGTCGACAATACAACCACCTTAGTCTCATCATCTGCCGCTGCCACCAACACTGCCATCTCTGCATTGCTTGAGTTCTCACTCATGGGTATCTCCGACAAGAAAGAAAAGCCGCAGCAACCGCTACGTCCTCACAAGGAACCTTCTCCTCCTCAAACTCCAGTTGCATCTCCTGAAGAGAAGGTTAATGATCTCCAGAAGGAGATTCACCAGATGTCTGTTGAAAGAGAAACTTTCAAGCTTGAAATGATGAGTGCAGAAGCTATGATCAGTATTCTCCAATCAAGGATCGATGCGCTGCGTCAGGAGAACGAGGAACTTAAGAAGAACAATGCCAATGGACAGTAAAGGCTCTAAAACCATCTCTCCAGGTTACTTCTTCTTGCTCTTCGCCTTTTATTTAGCTTTAATCTCCCTAATATTATGAGCCATCTATGTAGCTCCTCTAGACGGATTGCGAACCGTGTGAATCTCTGTTGTAACATAGGATAAAACGGATTCGAGCCCCTGAGCCGTGTGTTTTATCCTTCTTTTTTTTTTTTTTTTTTTGGATGTTCCTGCATCTTTTGAGAACATGTTTAGGTTGCTCCATTGTCATATATCATCTATCTATCTAGTCTTTTCAGACAAAAACTATCTTAAATTTGTCTCAAGAACGTTCTGACAACATGCCACAGACAAGAACAATACTAGAGGTGGTTAGGTACGAGGGCATAATTGTCATTTCAAGGTGGATTTTTATCACCTAGATTTGCAGACAAGAACTTTCTTTGTTTAAAATTATGTTCGGTCTCCGGTAATACCGTGGTTAGTGCTAAGGAATGAGGGTATAACCGTCATTGAAACAATTGGGCTAGCATTACGAATGTGGATGCGTCAGCGACGTTAGAAGACTTTTGTTACACGTAATTTGCAATTATTTTAAAAAGCGAAAAAGGGTTTGGTACGATTTAACCCTGGATTGCGTTTTCAACATCAAATATATTCTCTATTTATCTACTCTATTCAACGAAAATTTCAAATATTTTAAATTTTAGTCATCTTGATATTTATTGAAGTGGATAAATCGTTTCCGGGAACCAACCAACTCCAACAAATTCTAGAGACTTTAAAAGCCATGACTAGTCCAAGACTTCCACGTGTCGCTTTAGTAAAGACTGTCACCCAAAAACAGTCACAGCCAGTCACTTGATATGCTATCCCGGCACACTTTCCTGGAAGATATTAAAACCTCACGGCGTAAAACTTCTTCATTTGCACATTTTCTAGCTCCGGTTGGTTCGTCGTCATCATCACTCGTCTTCTCCGACATTTTCCTCAATTTCTAAAACCCTTATTTCCAAATCATTGTTTTGATCTTTCTTTGACAGAACAGCTCTTTTAATTTATTCAAAACTTGTGTTTGCGTTTTGGTCCACCGAGTGTATATGGGTCGTGGCTCAATGACATCGCTCGCTCCTGGGTTCCGTTTTCATCCCACGGACGAAGAACTCGTTCGTTACTACCTTAAACGCAAGATCTGCAATAAACCCTTTAAGTTTGATGCTATCTCTGTTACCGATGTATACAAATCCGAGCCATGGGATCTCCCAGGTCAGTTAGTTCTTCTATCTGTTGATCGAAATTGTATAGGAACCGATGATATAATTTGAAATTCTGCTTGATTTAATTTTGTTTTTTTTGGAGGGAATTAGACAAGTCGAAGCTGAAAAGTAGAGACTTGGAGTGGTACTTCTTCAGTATGCTAGATAAGAAGTATAGAAATGGATCGAAGACGAATCGTGCGACTGAGATGGGATATTGGAAGACGACAGGGAAAGATCGAGAGATTCTTAATGGCTCAAAAGTCGTTGGGATGAAGAAGACTCTTGTTTATCACAAAGGTAGAGCTCCTCGTGGCGAAAGAACCAATTGGGTTATGCATGAGTATCGCTTGGTTGATCAAGACCTTGATAAAACTGGTGTTCACCAAGTAAGAAGACTTGGGATTTTTTGAGTACCTTGTTGTTTAATGGGGATTTGTGTTGTTGACTTTGTTTTGGAATTGTGGGAAGGATGCTTTTGTGCTTTGTAGGATTTTTCAAAAGAGTGGGTCGGGACCTAAAAATGGAGAGCAGTACGGTGCTCCGTTTGTTGAGGAAGAGTGGGAGGAGGAGGATGATATGACATTTGTACCTGATCAAGAAGATCTTGGAAGTGAAGATCATGTTTATATCAATATGGATGACATTGATCAGGTTTGTGTTGTAGTTTTTGGTTTATCGGCTTGTTTGGAACTTAGAAGCTTTAGGGATTTTGGAAATTTTAGAGTGCTTTAGAATTCACTCTTCATTAGGGATTGGTTCTAGAGTTTACTGATATTTCTTGGTTAGCTTTTGGTCGATTGCAGTGTTCCTTTGTATTCATTGAGGATTCACTCTTGATGATTCACTGATCTTATCAGATTCCCTTGTAGGCTGTCTATTATGTTCTTCTAATTCTACAATTCGAATTTTATATCTTGCAGAAGTCTGAAAACCTTGTGGTCTATGATGCCATTCCTATCCCGTTAAACTTTATTCACGGGGAGTCGAGCAATAATGTTGAAACAAACTACTCAGACTCCGTAAACTATATACAACCTGGAAACTATGTGGACTCTGGTGGCTACTTTGAGCAACCAGCAGAATCTTATGAGAATGATCAGAAGCCTATTGTCCGTGATGGTAACCTTCAAAATGGAGAAATTGGGTGTGGTGTCCAGGACGAGCACACGGAAAATTTGCAATCTTCTGACAACATCTTTGGGACTGATACATCATGCTACAATGATTTTCCAGTTGAGAGCAACTACTTGACCGGTGAGGCGTTTATGGATCCGAACATTAATCTTATGCAGAATGATGGTCTGTACCTGGAAACAAATGATCTCAGCAGTACCCAGCAAGATGGTTTCGACTTTGAAGATTATCTTACCTTCTTTGATGAGGACGATGAGAATGCACAAAACTTGACTTTTGATCCTTCTCAACTGATGGGAAATGAAGATATTTTTGTCGATCAAGAAGAGCTCTTTCAAGAGGTATAAAATTTTATATCTCGACTTGTTTTTGTTTCCTTTTAAGTTTTAACTCACGTTTAAACCAATAGGTCGAGACTAAGGAACTAAAGAAAGAGGAGACGTCAGGAAGCAAACATGTGGTGGAAGAAAAGGAAAAGGATGAGGCATCTTGCTCAAAACAAGTTGATGCAGATGCAACAGAGTTTGAGCCAGGTACAGAACCATGTTACCACAATCAGACTTTAGCCATATATGATAATAGGTGGTGTCACTTGTTCTGTTTAGATGATGGATCAATTCCTAATAATGCAGATTACAAGTACCCGTTCCTCAAGAAGGCAAGCCACATGTTGGGTGCTATTCCCGCTCCGCCAGCATTTGCTTCTGAGTTCCCGACAAAGGATGCATCTATCCGGTTACACGCAGCACAATCATCAGGTTCGGTTCATGTAACCGCAGGTATGATCACAATATCAGACAGAAACACGGTGGGCTGGTCATACGGCAAAAATGAGAACCTTGACTTGATCCTTTCTTTGGGGTTGGTCCAAGGGAATACTTCCTCCGAGAAATCAGGAGATAGTTCAGCATGGGCAATGTTAATCTTCATGTGTCTATGGGTCCTCGTACTCTCAGTTAGTTTCAAAGTGAGCATTTTGGTCTCTTCCAGGTGATAGGTACCCCTTTCTTTTTCAAACAAAACTTTTGTGTTTGTACATTGATATAGATTTACTTGCAGTGTTCTGCTACTCAATGTTTTATCATCTAATTCTATTGAATAAATCTCATTTTATATCACAATACAAAATACTGTAAAAGTATGTTTCAGAGTTGATGTTATGGTTCTAATCGGGTACTTGATTTGATTTTAGTGTGGATTCTTTTCTACTATTGTTTTAAGTAGAGTAGCTTGTCTGTGGAGGACCACCAAAATATGAACTACGGTTAACAAAAATAAAATCCATTGGTAAACTAATAGTTTTTAGTTTTTACAAAATTTAAATTTTAAAATCAGAGAGTAACAAGAAGACAACTCCCAATGCTAAAACCCCCATCAAGACAACTCCCGATCGCAACACTCAACCTTTCCCCAAATCTCTCCTTCTTCACGCCTTTCCACTGTAATCTCCGCACACCATATTTCTCTTTTCCTAGATGGTTGTGGACCTTAAACTTCGAGGTGTGCCGTCAAAGATCGTTGTGGTGTCTGTGTTCCAAAACCGATGAGCGTAGGGATTGGATAAAAGCTGGAGCTCACGAATTCTTCACAATTTATATATATATATATTTAACGTACTTACGAGACAAATGAAATATAGATTTTTTTTGGTTATCTTTAATATTGAACTATTTCAGCTGTTTGTGTCCATTATTTTAAAAAATACTTATGTTTTGCTCAATTGTTAATTTTGTTTTGCTCAAATTTTGTTACTTTTTACTTAGAAACTTTTTTCTATTAAATAATTTAGTGCTCTTGAACATTAAGATACAAATGGCACAAATCATATGTAGTATATTATTTATAAAAAAATAACATTTATTGAACTGAAGTAGATCCAATATCTATGTCTAGGGAAGTCAAATTATTAGTTTGAGTGACTATAAAATGATCCGATCCCCACGTTAATTAACATCCATCTTGTGAAAATAAATACTTCAAACCATGATATTTCTCACAATAACCAATTCAAGAAAAACTACAGTATCATGTATCTCCCTAATGAATAATGATAGCACAACACAAGATCCTTCTTCAAAAGCAGTGAATTGTAGAAAATCAAAGATTAACATAGTACACACAAAGAAACATGTATATGTGTATCATGTATGTGTAATAGATTCATGAATGTGATACCCAAATGATCTAGGGTTTTATGACTGATCTTCTTGTTTCATCTCGGTCTTAATGGCTAAAGCCAAGTGATCATAAGCTTGAGACCAAGCTCCTTCAACTTCTTCATTGTATTTCTCCCCCAACCCCTCTTTCAATGTCCTTAGCAAAGCTTCTTTCACCACCTGCTTTCTCACTCACACTTATTGTTAGTTAAAATTGAAAATAAAAATCATGTCTATATATTTTTTATATTTTTATTTAAAAAAACAAAAGACCTCGAAGTGAGGGTCAATAACGCCGCTTTTGAGATGAATTGAGCCCAAGTATTGGAGGGTTGTGTCAGCCACTACTACCTTTCCTTTCTCCCTCAGCTGTATAGCTGTTTCACATGTCTACACCCAAAAAAAATTAGTAGAGTCAGAAAATTCATACATGTTATGCAAAGTCCTAGAAGCCAAAAGTGAGTTGAACCAAACCAAGTCATAAACCAAAATTAAAAGTAAACAGAATTTGGTTTATATGGCTATGTTCTATTATAGCAATTAGCAAAAAAATAACAATCCATAAAGCGACTTGAACCACTTGGATTCTTCAGTAACAAATAAATCTTTATTGACAGAGAAATGTGTGTTTGTCATTAAAAATGAAATAATACAATAGTATTCTTTACTAATATGAGATTTTATTCTCAAAGAAGAAGACAAAGCCAACTAGCCAAGTTCAAACAAAATCGCAAGTCGTGTGCACATGGCTGCGTCAATAAATGACAAGAAAAGTGAATTCATACTATTTTCTATTATATAAGAAAAAAAGGTATATAATGAGTAAATAAGATTCTTAGCTGTAAAAAGTGAAACATTCTAATTTCAATCTAAGAACTTCTTACATTATCTTAGTAAGAAGTGTAAGATAATGGCACGAATATATGCAAGTGATTCACATATATGTAGTAGATGTAGAAAATCGGAAAGTAAGTAATTACCATCTTGAAGACTTTAACAGCATGAGCTTTGAGTTTAGGATTGTTGTGAGGGACTTCATCTGAGTCTCTTAGGAAAGAGAACAAGCCCTTTGCTGCTGGTGCTATCTCCAATATCCTATCACAATTATATTGTTCATTAGCTCACATATATAAACAACATGTAAAGAGCTTATATATGTGTTTATGTATAAGTATGGTTACTGTGAGAAGAAGTGAAGGCTGTATTTGGGGATGTCTTGTTTCAGTATCTCCCACGATTCCTTCACCAAAGCTTCTTGCTTCTCTGTAAACCCAATCTCTCCCATCTCTTTCTCTCTTTCTTTATCTCTCACAATTTGAAGACGCGAATATTTGTGTGTTTATATGTGTGTGTATCTATATATATGGTATTCAATGGTCCTTTGGTTGGGTCTGTGAGCTACTTTTGTAGAAGATTTTCTCAATGTTTATTTTTTGATGACTAAATATGTTTATTTTATAGAAAAATATCTATTAACTAGAGGCATAGTCTCTAAAAGGTGGACACGCGTAGCCAAGAAATTAAATATGGATACACATTATGTCCGTCCGATCAGTCTAAATAGACGTAGAATAATACTATGAGCTAGATTAATACAAATAAGTAGTTAAGAGTAAAGCGTCTTGAGGTGAGCACATTAGTGATCAGAAAGAAGAATGAAAACCACATTATTGGATGCTTTTGAAATTAGATTCAATGTCACGGAAAAATAAATAGTAACGTAACAACATCAATTGTCAATATATATGATAATACCTTGTGTAGCTCGTCTATTGCCTTTTGGAGAGCATAAAACTTATAGCTGGGTCTCCCGGCGAGCCAGTTAACCAACATGGTAACGGCGATGAATCCTAATCTCCTTTACCAAAATCCAAACAATCAAATTTCGTTTCAGAACTTGGCCAGATCGACAAAAATTAGGGTTCTACCAAAAACATTAGTTTCTCTCTACAATAACGGGAATAAATTAATTAGCGTATATCAATTTCTTATACGCTGCCTGTAATTCGAGATAGCAAACCTGACAGATGCGAAAACACTATAGAAAGTACCGAAGCTTTCATTAACTAACGCATGCGGTTTCTGACCTTTTTTTTTTTGGTTACACTAGAGTTTGTATGTAAACTCTATGGATCTTGCCATTTGCCTTGGATTAAACCGGCCCGGCCCGGCCCAGTACCAAAAAGAAAGAAAGGTCTTTTTGTGCTCCCACTAATAACAGATAGAGAGAAATAGTAATTATTCTTGTTTTGGTTTTGGTCTTCCTAAATTTGTTTTGTCAAAGATGTGTTAAACCTTTTCAAGCTTTGATGCTATTTCTCTCAACAGAAAATCAGAGAATTAATAAAGACTTTTAGGTAAGACAACTTTCGTTTCGAAATTATTCCCAGAGCGAGAATTCATCACATTCCCTTTGTTAGACCACGTAACACATGAATCAAAAAAGTTGTAGCTCCTCTTACATGCGACATGATGATACCAAATGCCTTTTTGTGTGTTAAAAGAGACAACATTGTATAATACACACTCTTTAACTTCTATTAAATAACTCGAGCAATGATAGAATAATTGAAATAAGAAACTTACAATCATGAAATAAGTAAAAAGAGTAGCTTATGTTTTAAGACAATTACTTGTTGGATGAGTTGCGTAGACATGGCTCCTCCTTCATCGCAGGACCATCGTATCATTACTACATATATTTAATTTCCACTCAATTTTACTGGTCTAATGAATAACGCCTATTAATTTCCATGTTTTGGTCACAGAGCTATTTAATTACTCTATGTATTTAATTTCCATTTAATTTTGTTGGTCTGGTGAGTAATCGTCTTATTTTTCTGTCCGCCAATTAAAGAATTTTAAGTTGTTACTTCTAAAAAACAAAAAGGTTGTTGAAACTTGAAAGAGATACACATGCATGAGGTTACATATATTAAACTGTAACACATGCAATTTACTTAGCTAGTCTACCACAGTACCATGCATTTACTAAATACTACAAACATTAATTTGGTGTATATCGTTTTGTTTGTATTCATTGCTAAATTTAACATAACAACTGAAATTTTTGAAAACAGTCTATTTATGGTTTAAACATGTTAACACCTGCATATATTCCGGTCATTAAACAAATTATCTAAGATTCATTTCAATTGTCTTATAACACTTCGAATTCTTATAAATTGTGGTAATTTTGAAATCATAAAGAAATAAAGTAATAAACGATGAGAATCAACTTCGATATTAGAAATCTTACGACATTTTCTTTTAATATCTTCAGATCCCAAAGTTGCGTCCGCCGCTCTTCCGGCCGGTCAAAAAGATCATAAACAAGCATGAATTTCAGATCAATAAATTTGATTACAATATTGACCAAAAAAAAAAAAAAATTTGATTACAATATAACTGAGTTTTTATACATGTGCATGCTCTTTCTCCTGTTCAATTAAAACATTAATTTTTTTTCCAGCGATTAATAGAGTATATATTTCCATCATTTTTTTTATTTTTTGTAACCATATAATTCCATGAAGGCTTCATTTTCTCTGCGTTGTTGCTTTCACAGTTACACGTAGGACACGCAACTGATACATCTTCTACCAAATTAACACCTAAAAACTTCTAAACGCCATTAGCATTTTTGATAACCCAATTAATTGCTATCATTACTATTATTATAGAATTAAATTCCCTTTTATCCCTAATAAATTTAACATCTTGCAGTAAAAAATTGCTTACATTTTAATTTGTTCAACCAGAGTACACTTTTCCTAATACCGTGTATATTTTTGAAACGCTAAATAGTATTTTTCTTTTTTTTCGACCTGTATCTTATGTAATTGTGATATCTTATGGAAATCAGTTATCTAACTGAAGGGTACTAAAGTCTTTTCGGTCCAACCTATAAGAATGAAAATGGACTAAAAAAAATACGGTAAAATAAATCAAGTTTAAATTTACAAATATCGACTTGTGTAAAAAAAAAAAAAGAACTCTAAGACATTATATTGTGTGAAACTATAGCGATTGGTGAGTACTAGTTTTCTTTTGATTTGATTGCCATCATCTTCTCACATAAATGCAATGATTTTATATTTAATAGAACATGTACCACACATTGCCCATGAAGCAAGCAATGTTGTCACTAGCTAACATCACCGTAAGCCTGTAATTTAATACATATTAATAAAATTACTTTTCTATCAGGAGATAAACCAAGTTCAAAATTTTCATACATGCATGCGTCATAACACAATCAATTTTTTTTTTTTTTACCAGGAGATATTTTGATTCTTCATATAGTGGATGCGGATATTTTACATCGGTCAATATGATATATATGGGTCATTTATAAAACGCGTTCTTCAATTTTAGAAGTCGACAATATATATTTTGAAACTATTTTTTCCATGAAGTTGGATGATAAAACGATCTTGTCTCTTATAAATGACATAAATATCACATTATTGTATAGAAAACTTGGCAATTGGAATTAAATTTCATTTATTACTCAATTTACAACATCGACCCCTCCATGCGAAATTAATATGCGGTTGCAGGGAAATTATCCATCCATATTCATAATTAAATTAAAAATATTAAAATTGAACACCAACATATAATTAATCTCACAATATTTCCAGTAAAACTGTAAAAAATGTAAATATTGAATTAAGCCTCATCTTCGAGCACAATAAGGATAACTTCTCCGCCGTTTAGCCGTGGTCGACGTCTCATTGTATACGGAGGAGAAGAAACGGTCAATCTCTTCCCGATTCATAATTATCTCACAAGTCGACACTAAAAGCTTCCTCTTGCACGATCTGATCATCAGAGCCGCCGTAGCCGACGGTGCTGACGGTGGTGGTCGGGGTTTTCGCGGCGGAGGAGGTGGAGAGTCTACGACGGCGGGAATCTTGTGTTCTTGGGATGTGGGTGTACTGCAGCTAAGGCCATCTTCGTCTTCGTGATCATCTTCGTCCTTCTTGGTTTTTGAGGTTTTGGATCGGATCTTGATGGGTGTTGGGAAATTGAATTTGGACAAATCTTGTAATAACTCAAGATCCATATCTAAACTTGTGTGTGTTTTTGTTTTTTGGGAAACTTTTTTTTTGTGGATGGAGAGAAAACTTCTTGGAGAAGTGAGAGGTTGAGAAGGGTTTGTTATATGTGTTTGTATCTTTACATACACGTATATACATACATAAGTTAGAATGTCGCATTTAGAAATGAGAGTTACCTTTAGATATGAAAAAATAAACAAAAAAATAGAATGGGGATAAGTAAGGTAAAATATATATGGAAAGGAAAATGGACGTAATTTCCGAATTTAGAAAACATATAGTTATACTAAGGATGGTAAGTTATACACAGGTAAAATATATATGGAAAGGAAAATGGACGTAATTTCCGAATTTAGAAAACATATAGTTACGTTATACTAAGGATGGTAAGTTACTTGTATAGTATGTACTACTAGCTTGAGCACATGTGATTCACAATTTTGCAAGGGTTGCCTATTTTTGTTAATAATTACTTAAAACCTCAAAAAACATTTGGATTACCTTAGAAATTTGGTTGTAATGTAATATTGGTTGAATAGTAATTAAAAAATATACTGTATATAAAATTCTGGAAGATAGATGAAAGATTTGCAAAAAATTTACAAAAGACAAATGAAACTCTGAGTTTGGAAGCACAGTGGGAGTGAATTAAGGAGGGCCATAACTCATGAAACAAACGCAAATGGTGTTCTCGTACCATCGGTCTCCTATCTAAAGACGTGTGGGTTATGGTCTCAACAATAACATTAAAGTGTGTCTATATAGAAACTTTTACTTGACAAAAGATCTCGAACCATCAAAGTAATGGTAATACCATCTATAGGTAGTAAAGAAAAGTCGTACACATATATATACAAATTTTAGATCAACGTCTTATTCTTAGATCTCAAACATAAAGTTTGGTTAAATGTGTCTTGTACCTATTACAACCTAAAAACATGGCATGTGATTAGATTTAAAACTAGTCCATGCATCATTATATTTTATGTAAACAATTGATTGCATCAGTTTCTGTATCTCTTCTTCAATAATTACTCATTTACTTGTATGTCAAATGTGAGAAGCTGTATAATTTTTATGTGACATTATGATTTCAACATATACGATGGACCCACAACGTTTTACACGCCGAGTTTAATAATGTGAAAAGAAAAATGTAAACGTTGCCATGCCATAGAACAATTATTAGGCTTGTAACATGAGTTAGCTTTCCTTACTCCTTACACTTTGCGTTTTTCATCTTAAT